CCACCACCACCACCACCACCACCTGGCAAATTGTATACTTCTGTTGCTATTTGTTCTTAACTTGGAAGCCTCACCTGAGCGAACACTCTGCTCTGCCTGGGGAACTGCAGCCGGCTTCCTTAATTCCTGTTAACTCCTTTCTTAATTCCTGTTTCTGCTTCATGTTAAGTCCCACGTTTGATGATGCTACCTTTATGCCCATGTTACCAAGGGGATGCTCTCTGTCCTTCCTATGACTCACAGACTTCCTCAATGGGATTTCCTTGGTCAGTTTTTGCTGAATGTTTTGCTGTTTCCTTTTGTTTGTTTTTCTTTTGCTTTGGCTTGCTATGTATTTAATAGGCTCACTCATTCAAAAAGAGTGGTTATTGTAGATTCCCTGAACCATACAGAACATTCCTATACCCAGAGAGATTAGTTAGTAGGGACTCTCTGCTAATTTGATCTGCTCAAGGAAAAAAGTCTTCTAACAGCCATTGTAAAAGTGTGACCACCCAAACTACCATGTGTTCTTGCACAAATCATACATGGTATAACATAAATGCAGAGACAAGCTAAAATTACTGGCAGCTCCCTCCCAAGTAGTTAGCTTCTGAGTCTCGGCCTCAACAGCTGTAACCCGAACAAAACTTCCCTTACAGATACTCTAAGAATTAGTGAGTTGGCTGGATGGTAGTGGCTCACACCTGTAATCCCAACACTCGGGAGACAGAGGCAGGCAGATTTCTGTGAGTCTGAGACCAGCCTGGTCTACAAATCAAGTTCCAGGAGAGCCAGGGCTGCTACATAGAGAAACCCTGTCTCAAAAAAAAAAAAAAAAAAAAAGCAAGTTAGGAGCTGGAGATAAAGAGATGGTTCAGTGGTTAAGAGCTTGTACAGCTCTTGCAAGACGACCCGAGGCTAACTCCAGGGAATCTAATCCCTCTGTCATCTCTTATACAGGCATACACAAGCACACATAATTGAAATAATAATACTCCAGGCAAGGCAGCACACATTTTTAATTCTAGCACTCAGGCGGGTGGATGTCTGTGAGTTTGAGACCAGCTTGCTCTACAAATCAAGTTCCAGGACAGCCAGAGCTGCTACACAGAGAAATCCTGTCTAAACAAAAGAAAAAAAAAATCGAGTTAGGAGTCTGATCTACATAGCAATTTTCAGGCCAGTCAGGGCTACATAGTAAGACCTTATCTCAAAAATAAAATGAAATAAAAGTAAGTCTTAAAAGAAAAAGAATTGGCGAGTTTCTTCTTCTGAAGTGACAGTGCATCCCTAATACCTAATGCCCTGAGTAAGCGGAACTCTTACTGCAGGTAACAGAAAAAGCTGACAACGTGTTACTATTTTCTTCTCCCTATGTGGTCCCAAACTGACTTCAAATTTATAATATTCTTGCTTCTATTTCCTTAGGACTGGGTTTAAAGGCATGGGCCACCATGACCAGTAATTTTTTTAAAGATTTATTTATTATGTATATAGTGTTCTGCCTGCATATATCCTTGCACACCAGAGGAGGGCACCCGATCTCATTACAGATGGTTGTGAGCCACCATGTGGTTGCTGGTAATTGAACTCAGGACCTCTAGAAGAGCAGCCCATGCTCTTAACCTCTGAGCCATCTCTCCAGCCCACCATGACTGGTAATTTATGTGTATGTGTTTGTGTGAAGACCATCGGTTCATGTCAGGTGTCATCATCTATCATTCTCCATGTTATCTTTAGAGACAGGGTCTCTCAATGAATCCAGAGCTCACTGCTTGGCTAGAGGACTAGCCAGTGATCTCTGGGAGCCATCCTTTCTCCAAGGCCCCCGTTCTATGGTTACAAATGTCTATAGCCAGGCTCAGCTTTCCCATGGATACCACAGATCTGATCTCAGATCTCCATGCTTGCATGGCAGGCACTTAACTATCTCTCCAGTCACCCTCAAATAATTTAAAAATACAACAGAAGTCACAATGAAACATAGTTTAAGGTTAATGATCATTTAATATTTTAATAAGTTCACTTATAAACTTACATACCATATGCACACACAGGGAGAAAATAGGCTCTGTAGACACAACAGAATAACAGAAGCACAAAAGCAACCACAAAGAAGATTGCCTGTGTCCTCTGTCTTTCATCTACATAAACTAGAAGGCAAAATGAAAGGTTACATAGGAGCAACAAGACATGTAGAAAATAAGTCTGGATCACCCTGTCTCAACCACGGGAACTTCCTACCCTTCACAAGGCTACTGTGGGAACTGATGACCTAAAATACCCAATGTTGGGCCTTCCTGACAAGTGATGATCTGAGATATGAACCTCAGGCTTCCCTCTTTCATATGGAAAGTTGAAAGAACCAAAGAGCAATAAAATCAGCTGCACCGTGTTAGCAGCCAACGTCTTCCAGCCTTGAGTCATTATTTAGAAGTATCCATGGAAGGGAAATGCTGCTCAACCCTGAACACGCAGTTCCCTCCAACTCATGAATCTCATGACTGACTGAGGTGCAAAATGACATGGCTGAAGCAACCAAAGGGGCAGCATCTATGAGAACAGGGGCTGAGGAAAAGAAATGCCTGAGTCCATCTTCATACCCAGAATATATTTCATTCCAGAATCAGGCAACTGGTGGCAAGAAATGACCAGGCTCAACTATGGCTGCCTGTTAAAGTTAGTCCCACTGGGGCCAAGGTCTGGGCAGGGCATACCCATGGGACAGTAGGAGATAATTCTGTTTCAGTAGCACTTCAGGGGCATGACTTAATACCTCCTGGTTCCAGGAATCCTAGTAACTTCGAAATTAGTATCCCTGTGCATCACTGAAAATGGACTTTAATGTTTTGTAAGTAAAGCATGGAGCTTTAAGAATGGTAACATTGTGAGGAAAAAGCCATTCTTACAACACAGGATGTAAAATCAACATTACATTTACGAGGGTGACACTACAAACCATCAGAACCATGCTGTCACACATCCATCTACCAGAGATGACAAAGCACATTTCAGCCAGAAATGGGCATTGCTGTGTCAACAAGTCCCCTAGGAGTAGCCAGGAAAACGCCGTGGGCACCATCACATCTGCTTGGCAACTGTCTCATATGGAGATATGTTCAAGACTTGAACTGATGAAGGAAAAGCTGCCAAGCAGTGTAGCAAGGCAACATGCATGAGGTGGGCTGAGCACAGTCACAGTGTGCTTACTTCGAGCACTCTGGAGAAACAGGACTAAAAGAGTAGAGGGCAGGGCCATCACTGTGCTGTCCTGCCTTTGTGAAAGAGCACTGCTTCAAACATGCCAGCCACAAAGCTGGAAATGGGAGCTTTACAACGTAAATGAACAGAAGGTTTAAATACATGGAACATGTGCTTTCTAATGTTAGAAATACATTTTTTTTTCTCAGAAAACAGGATTGTGGGCTTCTTCCCAGAGCATCACACATTTGGGGACTAGAAATGTTTTAAGCTTTTCCATCACAAGCGGGTCAGGACTGAAAACGAGGCTAGATCTCCGCTAGAACAAACCCCCAAGACTCTACCCTATCTCACTTCTCACTCAGAACCTGAGTCATCTCCGCCCAGCTCTGGTTCATCCCCACACTCTGGACAGTCACAGGGCCCTAGCATGGCTGAGGACAACCTCTCCAGGAGTTAAAGAGTGCCCTTGTACAGCTTAGGCACCAGAAGGCCTGAGTCAGGGACATTCTACTAAGGCTCTCCCCCATTCCCCTCACCATACTTCCTTTACAAGTAGAAAAATAGGCTATAGACAGACTGAGCTGGCAATCAACACGCCTACAGCAAATATAGAAGCACATCACTGGGCAGACGCCAGTCTGCCGCCACCCACTTGCCACTCACTATTCTTCATTCAGCAGGGTTTAAAGGTAAAGCCTCAAATTCTGAGGCTCAATTCAATTCCTACCTTGAGACTATTTCCAATTATTCCCAGGGAAAAAAAAGCAAACAGAAGAATAGCAAGAGAATAAAACTGGACAGATTCCTGAAGCATAATGTCTAAAGGGAAGGCGTGTCCACTTTTATCCTGAGCAGGCAATCTTGTAGGTAGGTACCCGGGAGCTACCGAGGGTGGATCACAGGGTTCTCACACCAGCCCACAGCTCTAGGTCTAGAGTGAGATTTCACAGTTAATGTCAAAGAAGTTGAATTCTTCTTACCACACTCATTCATATCCTCCTCCATCAGATTAGTATTGGCATAGCAGGGAGAGTCGTCCCTTAATTAAGTACTATACCTAACTAAACAGAAAATGGCCTTTTAAACGGGTGTGTTTACACAAGGTCATCCAAGAGCTCTCTAAGAAAGACTTGGTGCAAGGCAGTACCCTGAGGAACTCCGGTTCTCACTCACAGCATACTTCCAGGCCTTCTCTGTGGTACCATGCAGGTCGGTCACAATCATCAGATTACTATCTTCAAAAGAACTATTTAAATTATTATGAAAGACACTTGTCACAAACAGAAATGCCCTGCAAATCAATTATTGCACACAGGACTAACAGAAGCGATGCACAGAACACCTTGAAGGCTCTAGAAGACCCAGAACAGAGACCCCAGGGCCATGCCTGTGGCTGCCCCAGCAAGCATGCCCAGGGCCAGGTCACTGTCATTGTCTCGGTACCGCTCACGGATGATGACTTGATTGGCAGGCTGTTGTCCATAAACTCCTATTAAAAAAAAAAGAGAGAGAGAAAGAGAGAAAAGAAGATCTTTAAGATGTGAATTGGAAATCTGACAATCATTGAAAAGATGGTGCTGTTTCAGGATATCTGATCACACTCTGTGATGATGCGTCTGTCCTTCCTCACCTGCCTAAGGCACCTTCTGATTGGTTTAATAAAGAGTTGAGCAGCCAACAGCTAGGCAGGAGAGGATAGGCGGGGCTTCCAGGGAAAGAGAGGAATGGGAGTGGGGGTGGGGGGTGGGGTCTGAGAGGCAGGGATTTGTGAGATGCAAAGTCTGACGTACCATACTGTACTAAGGAGAGGCAACAAGCCATGTCAGGACGTAGATTAAGATAAACGGGCTAATTCAAGTTTTAAGAGCTAGTTAGGAACAAGCCTAAGCTAAGGCCAAGCTTTTGTAATTAAAAATAAGTCTCCATGTCATTATCCGGGGAGCCGGCAGTCCAATGAAAGTCTGGCTATATGATGCCCTTAACATGAACGCTGTATCCACTCTCCATATAACCAGCTTGCTCACTAATTGGCCTTCGAGGACCTATGGAAAGGTGTTAACCAGTGGCTCCAATGAGTTCAACCCAAACCTTTCTAAGACCCATCACACATATGCTGAGGAAGACACTGTTGCAATTTATAACAGATGAGCTGTGAGGGTCCTGAGATATGGCTTAGTGAATACGTGTTGCTCTTACAGAGGGCCTGGCATCCACATGGTACATCAAAGTATCCATACTGGCTTCAAGGGGTCCAATGCCCTCTTCTGATCTCTGCAAGCATCAGGCATGCACTTGATACGCACACACACATACACTCACACACAATAAACAAATAAATAAACCTAATAAATATATTTTAAAAGATGATCCATGAGACCTGGCAGGGTGTTGCACACCTTTAATCCCAGCATGTGGAAGACAGGGAGAGGAAGATGTCTGTGAATGCGAAGTCAGCCTGGTCTACATAGTGAGATTCAGGCCAGCCTGGTCTACACAGTGAGACCCTATCTAAAAGGCAGAAGGATGGTACATGCCTGTAGAGAGGAAGTTGATCACCCTTCAGAAGAATTTTATTAGAGGAGTGTGGTGGTTGGGATGAGAATGCCCCCCCCATAGGTTCACATGTTTAAATACTTGGTCCCCAGTTGGTTCCCCAGTTGAACTGTTTGGGAAGAATTAGAAGGTATGACCTTGTTGGATGGAGTAGACGAGTCACCAGGGTAGGGATTTGAGATTTCAAATGTCCACACCATTCCCAATTAGCTCTATCTCTGTCTCCTGCTTTGTGGATAAGAATGTAAACTCTCAGCTACTGCTCCAGCACCATGCCTGCCTCTATCCCTCCATGATGGTCATGGACTAACCTTCTGAAACCATAGGCTCAATAAACTCTTCTATATAGAGAAGAGTTTGCCTTGGTCATGGTGCTTCATCACAGCAATAGAAAAGTAAGTAAGACAAATATAGCAACACGGCCACTGGGGAGAATGCCTTTAGTTCCTTTCAGTTCTGGGAAAACAAAGGGAGTCTCTTACTCATGGGTTTCCGGGGGCTGGGGGATCCATACAATGTGACCCAACCACACTGAAGAGCGAAAACTGAAAGCTGCCTTGGATTTTGGAGGGAGGCAAGCTTTCAGCTGCCAGCAGGAGGAAAGCATTCAACTATCTGCAAGAACTACAAGGTCACAACACAGGCTGTGTATCAATACTTCAGAGAGAGCTGCAGGGGTGTGGCCTCTGAACAGAGTGAGGGGGCCAGTTAGAGGACCTGAAACCTTATACATGCCACTCTCTAAGAACTTACTAACAGATCAGGGTCCTCTGCTTGCCAGGGCCAAACCCCTTAACAGTGCAAAGATCAGAGCACCAATAAACAGAGGCAAATCCTACACGATAAAGCTTCGGAGGTCTGCCTCTGGTTTCCATGACAGCCCTCCCCACCATGTCTGCTAGGATGACAGACAAATGGGATGAACGTGGGAGAAACAGGGCAGAGCCTGAAGGAAGATGAATCAGCAGCCAAGCATGGTGGCTCGTACCTGTAACCCCAGCCCTCGGTGGTTTATGACAGCTGCACCAGCTACGCACCAAGTAATGTCAAGACAGGTCTCTCCTGAGGATTATTATTTTTTTTTTTTAAGAGGCCACTGCCTGACTCTGCTACAGACCTTTTGACTTACAGTCATGCATAAGCTAAAATGTTAAAAAGATGCTTCTCATTCACAGTGTGAGCTACGTACACCTTCCGCTTAGTACCTCCAACCCCAAAGCACAGTCACTTCTTCAACAGACAGACACTAAAGGAGAAACTCACTGAGGATATCTGGGAACTTCAAAGGTCCCAACGTCAAAGACATTATCAAAGAGTGCAAAGAATGTGGTGTGTATACACTTGGTGCCAGAAGTACCGAAAGATACCATCTTCAGGTCCTTAATCTATAACCAAGAATTTCTACAATTTTGCAGAAAGACTTATGTAAGCTCCAAGAAGCCCAGAAGAGCGTCTGGGGAAAATCTTCTCATCCAAATTGCTAAAATGCGTCACATGAAGCTACAAATGTGCCTGACTGTGCTGTAACCTGGGGAATTCTAAGCTACACTTCCTCCCACATTGCCACAGCCATCCATCCATCCTTTGCCGCCTCCTCCACTTCCTCTGCCCCCTTCTTAGCCCATTTCCTTCTCTGCTTCTACTTCCTCCTCCATCTCCCCCTCCACCGGTCCTAACGGCCATACTGCTCAAGCAATACAGTCCTATCAAACCACAGCAGGCTGGACCATTCACAAAAGATAGACTCATCCACGCAACAGTTAAAGATCTCCTGAATGCGGCCTTAAAGAAGCCCCAGGAGATGAAACTAGAAAGCAGCTTAAGCCACCAGTGAAGCAGGACTCACCCACCAGTCCCCAGCTCAGACTTGCCATGAGTCACCACGAAGCCTAATGCCAAAGTTCTAGCAACAAACTAGAAACATCTTAATTGTGCCTGGTAATAGCTAGAGATCTGTGGAGAAAACTTAGAGAGTTAGAGGGGGTGGATTTGGAGAGATGCCTTGGTGCTTAAGAGCAGAGGATCTGAGTTTGGTTTCCAGTATCCAGGTTCATCAGTTCACAACTACCTATAACTCCAACTCTGGAAGGCCCGAAACCTCTGGCCTCCTCAGCCATGTGTACACTATCCACACACATACCGATAATTTAAAATAATCTAATTTTCAAAAAGGGGGGGGGAGCTGAGAGAGAACTTTTCTCATCAATAAAGAAAACAGAGAAACTGCAAGTGAGTTTCTTTTTTTTGGAGGGGGGGTATTATGAGACAGGGTTTCTCTGTGGCTTTGGAGGCTGTCCTGGAACTAGCTCTTGTAGACCAAGTTGGTCTCGAACTCACAGAGATCCATCTGTCTCTGCCTCCCGAGTGCTGGGATTAAATGCATGCACCACCACACCACGGGGCTGCACAAGTGAGTTTCTTGCTGGCTCACTCTAGAACTGAAACAAAACAAACAAACCAAAAAAAAAAAAAAAAAAAAAAAAAAAAAAACCCACTATTTATTTGTAGGGGTTGTACCACAGAGCACCTGTAGGGGTCAGAGAACAACTTGGGAGACTTGGTTCTCTTCCTCCACTGTGTGGATCTTAGGAACTGAACACACCGTTGCCAGGCTTGGTGGAAGGTGCCTTTGCCCACTGAACCATCCCACCAACCCTATCCCTGTCACTTCTTACAAGCATCTTTGATAAACAAAACTGATGTCAACTCTGCCTGATGCCCTGAGGTGACCCAGGTACTATGTAGACAAAATCACCAAGTCTTCCTTAATGCTGTGGTGTCTTAGCTACTTTTCTGTTGCTGTAATGAAACACATGACCGAAGCAACCTACAGGAAGGGAGATGTAATTGGGCTTATGGTCCCAGAGGGAGAAGAGTCCATTACCATCACAGGGGACGCATGGAAGCAAGCACTAGGGACAGCTGAGGGCTCATATCTCAAAAGCAAGTATGAATCTCAGAGAATGAATTCGACATGGTACGAAGCATTTATTTACTTCTCCTTCTTGTAACTCCTCCTCCTCCTTCTTTTACTACTACTACTACTTCTTCCTTCTTCCCTTCTCCTCCTCCTCCTCCTCCTTCTTCAGGGGAAAGCACAAAGCAGTCCCCCCACCACAGATTATACAGTTCCCCAAATTTGGGGAAATTGCAGGAGTGCACAACTGAAGAGCAATGGATAAGCCTTGCCCTGGGAAAGCCACCTCCATGACCATGGTATTTCCCCTGCCAGGTGAGTATGGTATGAGACTTTTAAAACCTCTAATCTCACCCCCAGTGATGCATTTTCTCCAGCAAGGCCATAACTCCTAACCCACCCTAAACAGTGCCACCAACTGGGAACCGAGTATTCAATTGAGAATATGGGGGCATCTCATTTGAACCACCACGTTCCATTCCCTGGCCCCCATAGCCTCATGGACATCATATTATAATACAAGTTTCATTATGTCTAGCAACTCTGAAAGTCCCAAATGTCTTTCAGTCTCAACACTGAGTCCAAAGTCTCTTTGGAGACTCCAGACAATCTTCTAACAGTAACCCTGTGTAAAATAAAAAATACTACTACTGTATAATGGCTCAGAGCATATATTACCATTCCAAAAGGCAGGAAATGGGGATAGTGAGGAAATGCTGAACCAAAGCAAGACCAAATAGCAAATTCCAATCCCACAGTTCATACTTAGATGGCTCTGCCCCTCCAGTTTGCTGCCTGTAAGATCTCTCTCTCTCTCTCTCTCTCTCTCTCTCTCTCTCTCTCTCTTAGTCTGATTCCACTCTCTGTGTGCAGCTCTCCTCAGCAGATGTCTTTGGCTTCTCTAACATCCTGGGGTCTCCAACACAACATAGGCTTCACTTCCACAGCTTCACACAACGGCCTCTCAGGGCCTCCAAGCAAAGACTTCCTTCCCATATGCTTGGCCTTAGTGGCTCTCTGCAACCATGGAAGATTCAGTGACCTCTTTACTCATGTATCTTCCATGACTCTAAAGCCAGCACCATGAGGATGAGGCTGCTGACAACTTGAGATAGATTCTAGCCTCCTAGAGTGACATTTTCAGTAGCTTTTGTTTGTTCTTTACCAACTGGGTGGAGTCTTTCCTTAAGGCACCCTTCCCTTTATTCCAGTTTGGATCTGGCTGGCCACTTCTTTAGTCTTCTGATTTTTTTCAGCCTGGGTTGCAACATTAAGTTTCCTGGTGCTCTTTTTCCTTTGAAACTATATTTCGTATTTCTTTCTGCTCTTCCTGCCCTTTTTCATTGTAGACCTGTGTAAGAGTGATCACTAACAACCATGTGATGTAGTCCGTATTGAGCTGTCTTGAAATCTTTTCTGACAAAGTGATTTGGGGGTCTCCAACAGAAAGTGCAGCTCACTTAACTTCAAACTGAAAACAAGGAACCCTCCTTGCCCGCCCCCCCCCCCAGTGTAGGCAGAGAGCAGGAGCCCCAGCCAGCATGAGTTACCTGCATATGGGTACTGGTATGGCACAGCATATGCCTGCCCATTGGCAGCATAGACAACTTGAGTTCCTGCTGGGTATGCGCCACTGTATGGACCATAGCCATAGACCTGAAAAAAGAGAAAGTCCTGTGAGAAATACAATTTCGGGGGGCTGGTGATATGGCTCGGTGGGTAAAGGCGCTTGCCACCAAGCAGATGACATGCATTCCATCCTGAAACTCACACTGTAGAAGGAATGAATAAGTCCTAAAACTCATTCTCTGACCAGGAGCAGGGGTGTTGTGGGGATGGAGTGGGGTGACACACATGGGAGGTATTGGGGGGAGGAAGGGAGGGAGAAAAATGATGTGATTGTATTTTAATTTATATACACACATACAAACAAACAAACAAGGTGTCTACTGACCTCTACAGGCATGCTATAGCGTGTCCTAGATTGGATAATGGAGATGCTAGTAACTCATAAATCCCAATGAGTACAGACAAAAAAAAAAAAAAGCCCCAGGCTGGGGCTGGGGAGATGGTCCAGCAATTAAGAGCATGGCTGCTCTTCCAGAGGACCTGAGTTCAGTTCACACGGCAGCTCACAATTGGGGGATCTGATGCCAATTCACATAAAATAAAAATTAAGTATTTTTTTTTTACAGGTCCAGGAAAAGTCTGCTTTCTCAGCCTAAAGAACCAAAGAGAGGACAGCCTAGCAAGAGGGAGTATTTTCAGACAGTAACTCCTCCATCTAAGCAAACACATAAGAACCACCTGTAGGAACACCCTACTCCTATCACCAAAGGTCAGAGCCTGCCCTGTTCCCTTAGAGTACAGCTAGAAAAGGATGGGCGAGGAGCAGGTGACTTCATCCCTGTCAGATAACAAGACACCTGCCTACCAGGCAGCAGACCATGGAGTGAGCCACAAAGTCCACCATGGCCAAGTAGAATCAATCTGCCCCTCTCATTCCCCTGGAATCAATAAAGGCCTGGTGGGCCACTCACTGGAAGCCATGTACCTGTCCATGGAGATGCCGGAGCAGTAACAGGGAGTCCTCTCCGAGAAGCAAGGTGCTCTAAGAGAACCTAAACTCCTAAGCTAGAACCCAGCCCCGGTTGTGGGCTGAGAAATTGGTCTTCTACTCCCACTTGGCAGGAGATCCACCCAAACACATGATTAAAATAAAGCTCAGAGTCTCACAGTGTTTCAAATGTCAAGGTTCTGACCCAAAATCATTTTTCACACAAATAGCCAAGATCTCAAACAGAATGACAACAGAAAGCACCCACACTGAGGTGGCAGAGATGGCAGTGTGAGGGTTGGGGTGCAGCTCAGTGGACAGAGCTTGCTAGGCGTGAGAGAACCGCCAGATTCCATCCCAGTACCAGGGGAAAGATGCTAGAATTATCCAGAAAGGATTTGTATGTTGGGTTCTGGTATATAGGTGCTCTATGTGCAATGTATGGGTATCAATGCAATCATACATGTGTGGAAGGTATACATGCCTGTGCATGCATTCAGAGGCAAGAGGAAGATACTGGATGCTCTGCTCCATCTCTCTCTCCACACCTTATTCTCTTGAGACAGAGTCTCTCACTGAACAAGATCTTTTTGTTGTTGTTGTTTTACAAGTCTACTTGATGGCCTAGAACACTTTATGTAGGCCAGGCTGGCCTCAAACTCACAGTAGTTCTGCCTTCTGAGTATTGAGATTAAAGGTGTGCACCACCACACTTAGCTCTGGAGCTGTTTTTTGTTTTTTTTAAGTTTTATATATTTATTATGCATACAGCGTTCTGCCTGCATGTTGCCTGCAGGCCAGAAGAGGGCATCAGATCTCATTATAGATGGCTGTGAGCCACCATGTGGTTGCTGGGAATTGAACTCAGGCCCTCAGGAAGAGCAATCAGCGCTCTTAACTGCTGAGCCATCTCTCCAGACCCATAGAAAGAGTTTTAAAGTAACTATTATAAAAATGTTTTAGTTAATGATTATAAAATGAATATAAGTTATGTGAAAAAATAAAAATGCTACTCAAAATTAAAAATTATAAAAAAAAATCAGTATAAGATATATTCATATCTTTATATATTAAAACATAAAGAATACAAATTTTAGCCAGGTGGTGGCAGTGCATGCCTTTAATCCCAGCACTAGGCAGGAAAAGGCAGGCGGATCTCTGTGAGTTTGAGGCCAGTCTGGTCTACAAAGTAAGTTCCAGGACAGCTGGAGCTGTTATACAGAGAAACCCTATCTGGAAACCTCACCCTACCCCACCCCATAAGAAAACATAAAGAATACAAATTTTAAAACTAGACAGGGCATGATGCTACCTACACACCTGTAATCCCAGAACTTGGGAAGTAGAAGGAAAATGACCAAGAGTTTACAGAATACAACCACTTGAAAATAATGAAACACTTATAAATCTAACAAACATATATAAAATTACTATGCTGAAAAGTGTAAAACACTGACCAAAACCAAGAATAAAAGCAAAGAGGAGACAAACAGAGAAGTGCACAAAGCGCAGGGAAGGAAACAACACTTTTCTTTAAACATGATCCATTGGCTTACAGGAGCTTTTGTCAAAAACCTTGCAAGATTTGGCAGTAAACATAGATGAATGGATTCGAGCCTGGCCAGATGGCTCAATGGATAAAGGTGCTTGTGTCCAAGCCCAATGACCTGAGTTTAATCTGTAGGACTCACAGAGTGGAAGGAGAGAACCAACTTCTACAAGTTGTACTCTGACCTCTACCTGTGCACTATGGCATGTAGTATGGCACACACACACACACACACACACACACACACACACACACACACAAACAACAACAAAAAAAACAAACACACACACAAACAAAAAAAAACAAAA